AAATAAAATAGAGATATAATAGTTAATTAATAAAATTTTCTATTTATCTTTAATTAATTATCACGTAAATAAGTACTTTTAATTAATATATATTACAATTATCTTTATAAAATAATGGATGAAAAAATATATATTAAATAATATCTTAAAAAGAAAAATGAATAATAAAATTTAAACACCTTAAATTAGAAATTAGACCTATTACAATTGAATGGAGGAAGTATACATAAGAGTTTTATTTTATTTTTTTTTCTTTCCAACATGTGTAGGCAGGGATGGAGCCAAAAATAAATAATCTTAGGGGAGCAAAGTTCTATTTAAAATGTATATGCTAAAAATAAATTTCTTGTCGTGTAAATAAAAATAAAACTTAAATGTATAAAAATTAAAATTCTAAAGATCTTAAATGTAAAAAAATTAGATAAAATTTATATGCATTTAAATTTGAATTTAAAACACAACTCTTATTATAAAATATTACTTAATATGATCCAAATAGTAAAACTAAATGTTTTAAAAAATTGATAATACAAATTTTAAATTAATTTCATTTTACTACTTGATACAAATGGTCGCTAATCATGTATATATTACAAAGACAAGCATGTTAAAAATATAAAAATATTTTCATAAATTTATTTTTACTTGTTTAGTAATAAGTGATTTATTATAACACTTATAAAAGAATAAAAGTTAAAATACACCATTTTATATTTTTAAGGGAGGGTTTATTTATTTTTTAAAAGTAAAGGACTTAATTAATCTTTTTTTCAAAAGCAAGGGGGGGGAGTGTCCCCTTGCACCCCTCTTGCTGCGTCCCTGTGCGTAGGCATAAGTTAAGAGTGCATTTCCCTCACCTTTTCTTTACCATACCCCCTTATTTGATTTAGATATCTTATTTTATCCATTCATTAATACCAAAAAATTTATTTATTACAATGATTAAAACTTATTTATTCATTTTCACCTTTACTTATAATTAAATAAAGGAAAATGATTGGTGCACACCTGGATCCTAGACCCGGGTGTGCACCCCCAATATAAACAAAAAAAAAAAAGCCCATCACCTGGTCCAACTTTTTTTTTTATGTGGGGGGTGCAAACTCAAGTGTAGGATCCGGGTGTGCACCAATCATGATCCTTAAATAAAAATGCACTAGCACTTTTTTATTTTTTAAAAATAAAGATAAAATTAAATACTAATATTTAATATTTTATTAAAAGAAAATAGGACAACTAAATTAAATATGAGGGAGTAATTTGTATGAAAAATTACAAAACTAAACTTTATTTTTAATATTAATGTCATGTAAATGATTTTAAGTAAATAATTAATAAAATTAAAGTCAACTTTTTTATGCAAATTAATAAAAAAAATTACAAAAAATACAACCTTAATTTATACATCTAAGGTAGTGTAATACAAGAAGAATAAACTTTAAAACAACACAACAATTTTAAACAATAACTCATAACAAAAAGGGGGTCAATAGAGATGAAAAATTTTAGCACCAACAACGCCCAACCTACAAAGATATACTAATTTGAATAGAGTTTTTAGTATGAGTGTTAGAATGATGAAATTGTTTAAAAGACCATAAAATTGAAATTGTTTACAAAATTGTAAACAAACTTAAAATTTAATAATTTTTTCTATAAAAATTTAATTGGCAGTGCTATAGTTACAATATTGTTGGGGTAAGGGGTTGTTGAGTCAATAGCGATGATGATGTGAAAGCTAACTAGGATATCCCTTTATAGGAGATAAGGAGGGTCCTTTTAACTTATATCTATTTCCCGTGTGAAAGCCTACATGCCATGGGTTGTCGTCCTCTGTTCAATGAAGATGGTCTCCTCCAAGTTCTTTAACAAGGTCTGTAAGTATAACTTTCCCAACCAAGCCAAAAGACATGGGTAGCAATGATAGAGTTTCAAGAGCCATGAACGATTACACAATTACAAAAAATAATGAAAAGAAGATGTACATTATGATAAGAGCAGTAAGGATATAAAATATATAAAGATCAAATGTTACAATTTTAGAAGCACATTTACATAAAATACATTGTAGAATAATAATAATAAACACAGTAGATGTGCCCTTTGTTATCCTTGACAGATATTGTCACTCTAAAACAAGCAACCTTCATGTTGTAGTTAAAAACACTAATATTCTTCAAGCTTCCACAAAACAAAAGGGAATAAACTTTAAAGTAGTGATGGGAGAAGCAAGGATGATTGTTTGGAGGGCTTTTGAATGGAGGACCTCATCTTGCTTGTTGATGCTAACTTTGCCAATTGATCCTCTAATGCTCAAGAAAGACAACTAAGCATTTTAAACTATAGCATGAAATCCCCCAACCATGACATGTTGCAACTCTGGAGTGTATTTTGTATGATTGGAAGTGTGGAAAATATGAGGAAAATAAAGACTTCTAGGGAACTTTGTATTTGTATCCAGAGGTTGAAGATGAAAATTTCTTAAGAGTAAAAATGGGGTCTTTTTGCATGGAGTTTGGAAGATTTTTCTCTAATCTCCAAAATATGTCAAAAAATGAAGGAAAAATCAAAATATATATATGTAGTGGCATTTTAGCAATTTTAAGTTGGTAGAGCTAGAGTAGCTTAACAATATAATGGGTAGATTTGGGTTATGTGAGGATAGGTGTTAAGTTTTGGGTGGATTTAAGCATTACTGACAACTTTTAGAGTGCAATAATGGATTGTCCAACGTCTCAAATGGAGGACTGCTAGTTTGCTAGAGACTTCCCATTCTTGGTAACCCTTTGTCCATATGAAATAGCATATTTGATGTGCAATTGAGTACTGCCAACAAAACCACCTCCGTCCAAGTTTTTGATGATTTTCCTAAGCCAAATGTAATCTTTTCCACCAGTTTTCCATGCAATGAAACTTGTGCAGCCATCCATGTGTTTAACACAACTACAATTGGTGATGGAGACTCAAATGGCATCTCTGGTTGATTTCTAATGAGATTCCAAACCTTTTAGTTAGCATCAAATGGAATAATTTTGGGATCAAGTTTTGCCTCCACGTGTTTGTCGCCCAACCCTTCCTAGCAAAGATGAGCAACATTGCTAGCTCTAAGCTTGGTTAGCATGAATACCTTACTTTGTTAGGCGGGCAACATTCATCCATCCATGCCTGCCAAGCCATTACTCCCATAGTTTATCCCAAATAATCCCCATGAGTTTGCATTTATAGGTTTGTGTTTATCTGCATCAAAAAGCAAAATATGAGTGAGAATTTGTTCAAATATACAAGTATGAAATGTATAAGCATGTTTAGTAAAGAAAAACACTCCCTTCTATATTGAAGGGGATAGTGAGAATGATCATCACTATGCCTCTTTATCCTCTGGTTATGAAAAGCACTTGTATGATATTATTGTGTATATCTGGTGATGTGCCAAAATAGAGAATGAATAACATGGATATGTGCTGTAGTATCATTTTATGGAGTTAAGCACTAGTAGTTGACAATACTTGCCAACACGTAAAAATAAAGTAGAAGTATGTTGTAGATTGGGATGATTAGCGATTAGTAATTTTGTCCCTTTGTATAGAAAAAATAATGATGTGCATGACCATTGACCATGTTAAATATCGTTGGGTAAGCCAAGAATAGCTTCCTCATAATCAAAGGGACAATAGTGGCTAACTTTGCCCCCTCATAGCCAGAGGGATAACAATGGCTAGTTTTGCCCATGACTGGAGTATGAACTATGTGGAATTGGAAGACTATTCCCTACAATTTGCCAAGCTGCGAAGGGGATAAATCTTGTCAATCCAAAACTCCAACATAGTGATGAATATGATGAGAAATGGGTGAACTGTTGTCCATGGAAAGGAGATTACTAGCCACATCCATAGCCTCTAATTTAGATGAAGTGTGATACCACAATAAATGATGGCCCTTCTTGTTGTACCCGCATCATTAAAGGATGCTCCCCGTTATTTTTGCTTGTCGAGCACTGCACTACCATGTATAGGCAACCACTTAGGAGCCACTAGTCACGACTTGATAGATTTTTATCACTAAAGGGTAGTCATCCTAACCAATGATAGGGTTGTAACTATTACTGGTCTCACTTAATCGTACCAAATTGTGCTAACTTTTTATCTGTTTCTAGGAGCCAATAAAATAAAATATGCAGAGATCCAACCTTTTGTCAATTTTTGGGAGTCGATGTAATGAAGATCTGTAGAAATATGTAGCTTTTTACATGTTTTTAAAGGCCAAGTAAAATAGCAAGTTTGGCTCTCTGTCCATCATTAGGAGCTATCTAGATGTAATAGAATTAGCTCGATATCTATTAATAGGAACCAGTGATAGAGATATGTAGAATAAATGTCTAGTCCTTTGTCCATCGCGGGAAGCTATGTAAATTGATAAAATCAACTCTTTGTCCTTTGATGGAAGCCATGCCTATATAGTAAGATAGGCACTTTATCCATTGTTAGGAGCCAATTGTAGCAGCAAACATAGTGGTAGAGATCATGACTATCAAAAAATGTCTAACCATATTGTGGAGATAAATGTAGTCATGTCTAGCCATGTATATAAGAATGGTATTGGAGTAGATCATGTCTGTAATATTGCTAACAAAATAAATGAACATTGCTTCTAGCGATAATGACTCTGTTGTGGTCATCAACAGAAAATAAAATATAACAGATTTAATGTGGAAATAGATCATGTGAGCCCTTCTTAATCATAAATCCAAAACTAGTCTTATTGACATAGCACTACACATATTGTGAACTCTAAGGCAATACAAATTCATCCCACAACAAACACCAAGTAAAACTATATGTTTACAATCATAACATGATATTAAATTAGTGGATACATATAATAACATGGGTTAACCTCTAAATGAAAAAAGTCAATTATATAATAATATATTATATTATAAGCTTATAATATCATTAAGGATTGTAACTATAACATTTTCAAAATTTAATAACCTAAATGTTTTAAAATCTTAGAAAGTTAGTTGAGTTAACCATTCAAACTTTGATTTAACAAAATTTATTGGCTCATAAGCTTGACAACATAAGCTTTCCTTCAAAAAATTTAGAGTTTTAACTTCTAATTCTTTCTAATTTAAATTCAATTATATTAGAAATTAGTGCTTATCAATTAGGTTTTCAAAATAATTAAGTAAAAATATTTAAAATTATATTGTTTTAATAAAATATTATAAAAAATTAAAATAATCTTATCTTTGATTTAAAAACTAATATGTTTTAATTTCTTTTAAATAAAATTTATTAAAATAATATAATTTAAAAATCTTTTTATCTAATTTTTAATATATACAATTGATAAATATTTTTCTCTTAATAAATAAATATTTAATACAAGAACATCTTCTAAAACTGCCAAACGGATAGGACAGCAAATGCGCATAATTCAGTACTTGAGTTTGAGTTTGGATTAACTAATGAGTTTTTAGAAAAAGTAGTACCACATCATAATTTTTTTTAAAATAATTTAATTTATTTGTCAATTTTAAGTTTTAATCTTGTATTAAATTTTTTAATTTTTTACCTTCATTAATAATTATTTTATTTTTAAAAAGAATATATCTCAATTTCTCAATTACTTTATTAATGAAAGCAAATATAAAATTTGAATTAATAATTTAAAAAAAATTTATAGTCAACAAATCATTTTTTAAAAGAGTGAATAATCCACCTCTTACCAAGATTATTAGAGTTTAGTGTTTTGTAACCATTAGTTATTGAATGAAGAAACCCTCTGCTATTATTAAGGACCGTCTAAATTCAATAATTATATTTTATTTTGTATTGTAAAATATTATTTTTAATATAATTATGAGAAAGTATTTTATATGTTAAATTA